ATAGATTTAACCATCATAATATTTCCACTATCGGCCCTACCCAGAAAAACTGTATCGTCCGCGAACTGTAACAAAGAAACCACCAACCCCTTTTTACCAACTTCAATACCATGTAGTAACCCCTCATTCTCTGCTTTTTTGACCAACCCATTTAAGCCTTCCACCACCATCAAAAATAGGAAAGGGGACAAAGGATCCCCTTGCCTTAGCCCTTTCTCCACATCGAATTCCTCTGTCGGGCTTCCATTAACCAGCACTGAAACTCTAGCAGTTGAGAGACACTCCATAATCCATCCCCTCCATTTGGCCCCAAAACCAAACCCATCCATCATCCCATCCAAAAACGACCAACTAACACAATCATATGCTTTCTGAAAATCTGCCTTGAACAGAAAAGCTGATTTCTTCCTAATCCGAACCTCATCAACCACCTCGTTTAGGACCAGGACACTATCCACTAATTGTCGCCCCCCCACAAAAGCGGATTGAGCTTCTCCAATTATCTCTGGCATAACTACCTTAAGCCTATTAGCCAATACTTTAGCCAGCAATTTATACATGCAACCAATCAAACTAATAGGCCTAAAGTCTTTTAACTCCCTAGTGCTCAACTTCTTAGGAATCAATGCAAGAAAAGAAGAATTCAACCCCTTCACCAATCTACTATGCTGATGGAATTCCCGAAAGAAGTTAACAAAATCTTCCTTAATACAGTTCCAGAATAGCTTAAGGAAATTAAAATTATACCCGTCAGGTCCTGGCGCTTTACCGCCAGCGCAGCTCTTTAGCCCTTCTTCGATCTCCTCATCGGAAAAAGGTCGTTCAAGCCACAGTCTCTGCTCATCAGAAATCCTCTTGAATACTAGGTTCGTTGGCTTGGGTCGGTTCCAATGTTCCTCCTGAAACATGTTCCGGAAAAAATTAAACACCTCTGTCTTTACCATATCTGGTTCCTCCACCCATCTACCATCACACAATAAACCCGGGATGCTATTCTGGGCTTTCCTTCCATTAGCCATTTTGTGAAAGAATCTTGAGTTCTGATCACCCAGCTTAACCCACTCACTTCTAGATTTTTGTCTCCATATAGCCTCCCTTTTCCTCAATATTTCCCATATCTCCTGAAAACCTTCCTTCCGTTGAATCACTTCTCTGTCCGCCAGCTCCCTCATTTCATTCTTCATATCAATCTGGGCCACTTTATGAGCAACATTTTGGAATTCGGATTCCATGTTCCCGAACACCTCCTTATTCCATCCTTTCAAGAATTCTTTCAACCACTTCAACTTCTGTTTGCATCTGTATCCAGCGTACCCCTCCACCTTAAGATCCTTCCATTTATCCTCCACCACCTTCTTGAACTGCGGGTGCTGTTGCCATGCATCAAGGACTCGAAATGGTTTTGGTCCCTAGTCTACCACCACTGTTTTCACCAAAATGGGACAATGATCAGACACTGTCCTTTTCAATCCTTGTTGCACCCATTCCTCCCCCACATTACACATCTCAACTGACAATAATGCCCTATCCAAACGACTCATAGATGATCCATCAGGCCTATACCATGTAAATCGCCTATTTGACAATTTAAGATCCACCAGCCCAGTTGACACTACGAAATTGTTGAATTCCTTCATATCTGGAGACTCCCCTGTCCTACCTCTCCTTTCTTCTATACACCTCACAGCATTAAAATCTCCTACAATCAGCCATCTACCTTCCTCATCCATTATTCTTTGTCGTAGTTCTGCCCACAGCCTCACTTTCTTATGTCTATCTGTTGGTGCATAAACATTGACAAAATTACACTTCAGCTTTTTGGAACCCCACTCTCCTGTAATCCCCAAAAACCCGTCACCCGAAAACTCCCCTTTTTTGACAAACTCCAAACTATTCCAAACACAAAGCAA